CAGCCAATGCATGGGCCTAGAGTTGCTATAACACTAGCAAGGTTTCTTCCAGATGGCTTGGTATCAGTTATTAGGGATGGTCCTGGTGAGGCTGTTGTAGTTTCCCTAGAACAGACTACTGAGACTCCGGAACTTGTATGGACACCAGCCATGGCTACTTCTTTGTCTGCACAAATTGCAACTATGGCATCAGATCTATATCGCGAACAGATGAAAGGTCGTGTGGTTGATTGGGATGTTCCTGAGCAGGCATCTGGGCAGCAAGAAATGAGAGATGAGCCACAGGTAGTTCATGATTATGCCATATTTGCATTTTCTTGTCTAATTGTTTGGAGAACTCACAGTTTCAAGCTCATGCAGGTTGGTGGAATCTATGTTAGGTTATTCCTAAAAGATCCCAAGTTTCCTCTCCGAAATCCAAAGAGATTCTTGGAAGGACTGCTGGATCAGTATTTGACATCCATTGCTGCCACACATTATGACACACAAGCTGTTGACCCTGAACTTCCTTTGCTCCTTTCTGCTGCTTTGGTTTCATTACTACGAGTGCACCCTGCACTAGCTGATCATGTTGGGTATCTTGGATATGTGCCCAAACTTGTGGCTGCTGTGGCTTATGAAGGAAGACGAGAAACAATGGCATCAGGGGAGGTAAACAATGGCAGTTATGTGGACAGAACATATGAACCTGATGATGGATCCACACAGCCCACGCAAACTCCCCAAGAACGTGTGCGCCTCAGTTGTTTACGTGTCCTTCATCAACTGGCAGCTAGCACCACGTGTGCTGAAGCTATGGCAGCAACTAGTGTAGGAACACCTCAGGTGTGTAAATCTATTTTTTTGATGTATGTATTCTTTTTACATCTAAAAACCGTGTATTCTCGTTTTAAAAAGGATATATGGACTATCAAATTTTCATAAAGGACTCATATGTAAAATCCCCCCCGCTTTGATTTCTGGGAGATTCAGGCTCGTAGTAGTATCATACTGATCTTTGACCTTTTTTCACAAATGGATTTGCTTCAAATTTTGGTGACAGTTTTTTTTTTTTTTTTTTTTTTTTTTTTTACTATTGGTGACATTTTTTTTTTTTTTTTTTTTTTTTTTACGCAATTCAATATTCAATAATTTTTTAGGAGAAAATAGGGAGTTGTGTGCAGGAAGTACAGTAGATTTAAGTCCTCTCTTGGGCGATATAGGGTGGGTGCTGTTGTCTCATTTTCAATCCTCTTGTTTACCATTACTGTTCAATTTTACAGGTCGTTCCTCTTCTAATGAAAGCAATAGGATGGCAAGGTGGAAGCATATTAGCTCTTGAGACACTAAAACGTGTTGTGGTTGCTGGAAACCGAGCTAGAGATGCACTTGTAGCACAAGGACTTAAGTGAGTAGCTTTTGCAGTCTAGGTTTATTATTTTTGACTGACACAGTCTCAATCCAGTATGTAATCCATATTTATCATTCCATGGTTGAATAGTCTGCACCTTGCAGATCTGGTTATCTCATTTCCAGACAATGCTAACTAACACTAACCATGCACATGCACATGCACACACTCATTTAAAATGATATATTTGTAGATTATGCTCAGATTTGGACGAGCTGATGTTCTGAATTCCAGCCAAACTTATGCCTTCTGCCCATTCTGATATTGATATAAGTTCTCTGAATAATATAGGGTTGGTCTTGTTGAAGTACTTCTTGGCCTTCTTGATTGGAGAGCTGGGGGAAGGAATGGGCTTTGCTCTCAGATGAAGTGGAATGAATCTGAAGCATCTATTGGCAGGGTGCTAGCAATTGAGGTTAGAACATTTGCATCAAAGATATGATTACTTTGCCTGATTTCTTGTTGCCTTTTTCATTCGAAAAGAATTTATCGTTGCCTGTATTGAAGTTAAATAAAAAGCATTTGCTTGTTCTACTATAAATATCATTTTCATTAGGAATTACTATATATTTCATGAAGGTTTCAACATTTGAAATTCCTTTAATTGATAATTCCCATAATTGGAGGGGGCTTTCAGTCCTTGGAAAGGTTGTTTACTCCACTTTAGAATCTTATACTATGCAAAAAATAAATAATAAAATAAAATTATTTCCCAGATTTTTCCTAATGTTTTTTTACTAGCTGTATGAATCACAGACAAGAATTCTCATCTCTTTGGTTGCCAAGGTATTTATGATGATTATGTTTGGTGGGGGTGAATTAGCCTGTTTAAATTGTTCTATTGAAGCTGTTTTTTCATTCCTTTGGTTTTCTTGGCATGTTTGAAAATTGTGTTTTATCTTGTTCCAGGTTTTGCATGCATTTGCAACTGAGGGGGCCCATTGCACTAAAGTGCGTGACCTATTAAATTCCTCAGATGTAAGTCCTGATACTTATCTTTTGCTCTTTCTTTGCTGCTTGCGACTGGTAAACCCGAATAGCCTGACCAAATTGACCTGACCTCAATGGGTTGGATGGGTTCTGTATAAAAATCGGATTGAATTGGTTAAAACCTACTCAACCTGGTAAATTCAGTTCGCTAATGGTTTTTATTTTGATTTTGATTTTCGAACTAACGGACCCAGTTTGCTCATATTCAATTTTAAAATTTTTAATGCATCTTCCATCGATGCTTGACCTGATTGGGAAAATGAAACCAGCCACAGCTAGGTTTATACATCGGTTTTGGTCGTTTTGGGTTGTGATGTTTTACAATCCAAGAATTTAGGGTCGGTATCGGATTTTGTCTTAGCTGACCAGACCCGAGCCCACCCCTTTTTTATCTTTTCATATTTTGAAACCAAAATTACAAATTGTTGATTGTTCATCACGGAGTTTTAGTGAGAAAGCAATATTTAATGTTGCTCTTGCAATGAAAAATTGCCCATTTTCAGATTTGGAGTGCTTATAAAGACCAAAAACATGATCTTTTCCTCCCATCAAGTGCTCAATCTGCTGCGGCCGGAGTTGCTGGGCTAATTGAGAGTTCATCATCAAGACTCACTTATGCCCTTACGGCCCCCTCTCCACAACCAGCTCCATCGAGACCTCCTACTGCTTCACCTATATCTGAATCAAATGGAAAACAATATGATTTTTCATAGTACACAGAATGAAGATACGTTACTAAGCATTTACTGGAGAGGGAAGACTCAGTACTTTTTCTTGTATAGCACACTGTACAGTTTCATCACTTTTTACCTCGTCTACTCGCGCTGGTGAGGTAGACGACTTGGTAGCTATGGCGATTTTCCAAAAGAATAGTGAGAGAAAATATTTGTTTTTCCATGTAAAGAGGGATTGGCCACTTGTATATTGAGTCAAGCTGTTTCCTATTTGCTCCATATAGGTGAAGTAATTTTGTGTGATTTCATCAAGGGCAATTTTCTTCTATGCTTTTTTATGTTCATTTTATCCCATGAGTAAAAACTCTTTGTTACTTCGATTTTCTTCTTGTTCTTTAACTCCCATGAGTAACTGAAGGTTAGAGTATTTTCTTTTTCCCATTAACGTGTTTGAACACAGATCACACCTCATCTAATGTGGTAATTTCAACATGATACGTAAACCAAAAATGTGGTAATTTCAACATGATACGTAAACCAAAAATGAAGTAACCAGGTGGAATTGATCATAGCATAAATTCTTAAAGGACATAATTTTCCATTTTGATATGAGGTTTCTAATGAACCCTAGCAAAATTTAATTGAGATAATCATGATGGACTTTTGTCTTTTAATATAACAGCTTGAGAAGTGAGATAAAGCACTTGGGAGGCATCCCATTTTTCTCTTTTCTTCTTTTAAGGTTATTAATATATTTATAGATTAGTTTTTAAAAAAAAATCAAATAGAAACTTCATTAGATAACTTCAACAGTACATCAACAAGACATCTAAAATACAAATCTCAAGAGGACAACAAATTAAGGGCTCGTTTGGAAGTAATTCTGAATAGGTCAAAATGACTTTTGGGGAAAAGCATCTCTCACGTGCTTCTTCGTATAATCACTTTAAGTGATTATAAGGAGAAGCACCTCGCATCTACTTCTCTATAAAATCACTTAAAACCACATAAAGTGATTATATAAAGAAGTCATTCTCCATAGAAGTGATTTTTGGTATATTTAGAATCACTCTCAAACGAGCCTAATATGCTAAAAACAAAACCAATGCGGACAAAGGCCGTACTAAAATTACTAGCCTACATAATCAAAACTCTAAAACAACCAATGAGCCTAGACAAACCCTACCACCACTTGAAGAAGAATTGTCGTGGCCACACCCACCTTCGCATCCGTAACAGATCTGGAGAAAATATGATTTCCAGCAATCTACCTACGCATAAGAGTGAACAAATAAATGAAAACAACAACTTTGCCAAAAAAAAAAACAAACAGTTGAGTGATTTGCAGCAACCTCCGTCAAAGACAATGTAGAATGAAATTTAGAGAACATGAGCAGCATTAGGAAGCGGGTTTTTGGAGCAGGATTTAATTGAGAATATAGACTAAAATGGATGATAGGGAACTTCAATCTAACTATGGCTCAAAAGAAACCACCACAAGGGGTTTTTTTTTTCAAAACGCCCCAGTGGACTTATGCACTAACTTAAAAGTAGAAGACGAGAAGAGAGGAGGGGGAGGAGGGGCAGTGACGCTTCTTCCTCCTCCCCCTCTATGAAGTTTTCCTTTAGGACTCGCGGAAGGAGAGAGCTGCTAAGGTTTTTTTGGAAGAATAACCTAACAAAATTTAATTGAGATAATCATGATGGACTTTCGTCTTTTAATATAACAGCTTGAGAATTGAGATATAAAGCACTTGAGGTGTTGAAAACACTTTATCAACATTTTGGTAAATGGAAATGTCATTGAGAAGTAAGTGATGTCATTGGGAATCGCAAGCTCATAAGATTGAATTTCATTCTCCTTTGGAGTGAGCAATCCCATTTCTCAAGGCACCCCCAGCATATTAATTCAACCATGAACACTATTGGAAGCTGATAAATACCAAGCTTGCTCTCCATGCACTCTTCCAAGCCCCAAAGCAAAAGAAGAAACAGACCAAAAAGGAGAGGGAATTAAAAGGTTGGTAGAGTGAGAGACATACAATTGCACAATACCCAAAAAGAAATCCACTGAAACAGAGAAATATGAGAAGCAAGAAACTGATAGTGTTTTGTATTGTGGTGGCCTCATTGGCCATGGCATCAATGGCAACAATGGAGGATGACGAGAATGAATGTGCAGAGCAGATGGCAACCCTTGCAGCTTGCATTCCATTTGTGAGTGGCACAGCAAAGAAACCAACACCAGAGTGCTGTGAAAACACCAAGAAGGTGAAGGCCAACAAACCCAAGTGCTTATGTGTTCTCATCAAAGAGAGCACTGACCCTTCCATGGGCCTCCCTGTCAATACAACTTTGGCTCTCCAAATGCCCTCAGCTTGCAACATTGATGGCAAAATCTCTGATTGCCCAAGTAATTACTACGAGATTTTTGAGCATTTTCCGAAGTTACAATATAATATGTATAATGTAGTGTTGATTTTTGTTTGTTGTTCGTTTGAAGGTATTCTGAAACTGCCACCAAATTCCCCGGATGCAAAGATTTTTAAAGAGGCAGATTCAAATTCTACCACATCCCCCACAACTGATGGTCATGATCATCATTCTACACCCACTTCAGCTTCTACTTCTTCATCATCATCTGTCTCAACATATTCAAAGCCATCAGACTCAAAAGCAACTCCAAGCAGTGGAGCAACATTAATGAAGTTAACTGAGACTACATATCTGTTGATGATGATGGTTTCGATGGCACTGATGTTCAACTGATAATTAGAGGGT